GACAAATAGAATACATATATATATATATATATATATATATATATCCGGGCAGAGGTGTTTCTGGGCGGTCGCCCAGCCACTCCGTTTTCTTGAACACTAGTACATTATTTTTAAGGTATAGTTTCCTTTATCTGTTATGTTAGATAAAGCAACCAATATATATTAGGCCAAACAATAAGAGATATAAAACACGAAAAGGGGGAAAAGATAACCTGAAATCCAACAATTGTACACAAAATCAAGAAGTATTAACTCATCCAAAATTAAACCAATTGTCATGAAAGATGAAATAAATTAGAGAAGTCGTAGATATGCAAAGAAGACAGAGCCAAACTGTAAAACAAATTCTATTCATCTAATCCAATAATCAGAACACCAGAATTTCAAAATGAATCAATTTGGTCTTTAAAGTAAATAATCCAAATAAAACACACGAAACATCTAAGCCAACATGAGAAAAAAGTTATGATCAAAAGCACTAAACCCAATCAAAGCCACCAAGAATGAATCAGGGTAAAATTATTTACCATTAAATAACAAAAGGAGCACACGCAAGATTATCTATGGTGAGAAACAAGCAATAGAAAAGTAAGATCAGGCCCTAAAAGCATAAAATTTATATCAATCATCTCACCACCCACCACCACAAAGAAAAAGAGAGAAAAAGAAACAACCAGTTACAGGGAAATATTGCCCTCAAGCAATCAATCCTGGAAACACCGAAAATCAGCATATGAAACAAATTAATCCATCAATAAATTGTATAATCCCGTTCTGTAAAAACCAAAAAAGAGAAAAAAAAGCATCCACCCATAATCAAAACAAATAGAAAGAAATCCAATCACAATGGCTACAAAAATAAAAAAGGGGCCTGGAGAAGATAGCTTATGTCTGCCATCATATCCAATTAATCCAAATTGAATTATAAACAATTGAGTCAAGAAAAAAAAAACCTACACTCTATCCAGTTAAAGGCGACGTGAATTCAAAGAAGCCCTGAACCCTTAAACCACCATAATCAGCCAATAATTCATGGGGTAATTAATGTAGAATAGCTTTTTTTATTGGAAAATAATTGACAGAGAATAGTTGAAATAGAAAAGCATTCGTAAGATCGGTACCTGCAAAAGGGGAAATCGATCTGGAAAAAGCTTCACTTTCCCTTACACATGAAGCAGAAGAGGAGAAGATAAAGAGGACTTTCGTAAATGGTAAATTGGAGAGCAAGGATGTTGTCTAGAGCATTCAGAAACTAGGGTTTCGGAAAGTTCAGTCATCGCTGTCATGTGGTCATGAGTGATCGTGATGATGATGATCACCATCATGGCCATTATCATCACCGTGATCACCATGATCACATCATGTAAACCTAAAGGAGTGAGGTCCTTCCTTTCATATCTACCGTCTCTGTGCCCTTGATTCTCCCTACTTAAGTGCGACACGTGGGAGTTGGTTAGGGAGCCAACGTACTTCTGTACCGGAATTTCCAAAATTCCGGAGGTTTCGGTTGTAGACGACATTCCGCAAAATTTCGGACTTGGCGTAAACTCGTCCAAAACTTTGTTATTTTGTTTTAAACTAGGATACGGTTTCCATGTGCCCACCCCGCATAGTGTAGAAATGCGGGCTTGGCAACAAATGTATTTTTTAAATATAGTTTGATTTTAATTTTTAGATAATATATAATATTTTACATAGAGATCATGAATATAAAACAAATATTGAAAACTGTAAATAATAATTATATCAAGAAAACATTTGGACCGCTAGTTACACTTGTGTTTAGATGAACCACCTATTTGCATTCATCTAAGATGGATGTTTTATACCTCTAGACTGCATATTGTACAAATGCGGTCCAGCCTGCCTAAAACAATTTTCCTTTAAATTAACTTGAAGGGAAAATAAACAACAAAGGGCAGGTATGCTACAACTTTTAACCCTGGGATGCAAAATCTGATAGCTCAAGTATGTCGCACATTTGGAGGAACTTCATTTTGAGTTTTGTGCATCTAGTGAAAACCTTTTGTTGTATACTTCAAGACCTCATGCAAAATCATGTTAAGAAAATGTTAATTTCAATTTCACTGAGGTATTTTTCAAAAAATATCTTTCAAGATACTTGAATCGCATTTAGTGTAAATGAGTCTGGTTTGGTCCTGGTCAAACCGCATCGAGGTCAATAGGCCTGCCAGATCCCATCAAGTTTGGTTGGGTCCGGCCAACTGAAAATATACAAAAAATGTAAAATATAACTTTTAAGAAAAATTACAGATGCCCTCCCTAAATTAGACTTTCTAGACAACCTTCCCTCTACTACATTTTAGATCACAATAAACCCCAACATTGTTTTATGCAGCATAGTGTTATCAAAATAAGTTTCGCTTCGGCCAAAGAGGTTGAAGTGACCGAAACATACATATTTTAGACCAAGACCGAAGCGAAGCGAAGGCTGGTGTTGTCGCTTCTATTAGATTCGGGCCGCTTCGGTCAGATTTAGGTCTACTTCAAGCCAATTCGACTGAAGCTTCGACCTATTTGGCCTAAGCAAAGAAATATCAATATTTTTTTAAAAAAAATTATTTTTTATTTTCATTTATATATATATATATATATATATAATTTATATTAAATTTAAAAAAAAGTTTGAAGCCTTCTCCCAAATTGACAGAAGCACCGAATTGCTTCATTTTTCTCACCAAACCGAAGAAGACCTTCAAGCGAGTTTAGCAACATCAGTATAGTGTTTATCCCACCCCCCTGCCCTCCCCTCCCCAAGTCAAAAAAGAAGCTCAATTAAAGAACAAAATACCATTTCTCTTTGCTAATGCCCACACCCCTTGTTTAGGATCATTCCTCATTTATTTGTGTGAATTATTAGCAATATTCAAGCATTAATAGTTGGAATTATTCTCTATTGTGTTGTTTTGTTTTCTCTATTAAAAAGAAATCATAATTTTATCAAGATGATATGAAATGTTAGATTTATGATGTGATGTTTTTGTTTGTCTCAATTTTATATTTTTCTAGCGCTTTATTTACGTCTCTTCTCTATTAGCTATGTTGTTTTTAGTTGTGTACGGGATTGGATTAGGGTTTACAGTATATAAGTAAACATTTCATATTGTTTTGTTGTGCCTTTTTTATTAGCTAGCAATGGTTTGGTGTTTGTCGTTGTTTTGACGCAGGGCAAGATGCCTTTTATGTTTCAATTTTTCTTATTTAAAATTGCGGGATGTATTTTAGAATTTTTCAATTACTAATGTTTTAATTGGAAATGGGTTTTTGTTGGAAATGTAGCCTATCAAGCCATTTTTCTCCCGAAAATTCATTTTTTCAATAATAGTACAAAAGTCATATTGAAGTGTATGTTAAATCCCATACGGCTAACATGAGGCAATGCCATATACATTGATCTATTTTTTAGCTTTAATAGGATGTATCACTAGAGGGAAAAACCCAGTATCACTGAAGGGAAAACACAGTGGTGTATTTGGATTCCTTGTAAATTGTGAAAATGCTTGGATGATAACCTATTATATGATTCCTTATTGGACTAATGACAGGTTTAGCTCATTACTTAAGATAAACAGTTTGGTAACAACCTGTTAATACTAATTAGCTGCACTTAAGGGAATTAAGGCTGGAGTTACACTTGGGTCTCAACTCCTATAGATCATGAATGTGAGAGTTACTAAATAAAGGTGTTGTTTATAAAAGGAGGTTAAACCCTCTAGAAAATACAAAGAAGGATAGAAAAGAGGTGAAGGAGATTACCAAGAGGACTCTCAAGGTAGCCCGTCACCGGATGGCTTGGTCTATAGGATTTGGTATGGAACCTTAGGTTACTCGTATGATTTAAGGACAAATCCTAGTAAGTTGTTTATTGATTTCAAATTTATTTATTTGTTATTATTTTTATTGGGCCTAACAGTTTTGATGGCATAAGGCTTTTACAATGTCTCTCTGATAGGTTTGATTATAGTTTGGTTTGCCTATTTTCATTAATTCGTTGTCTAGTGATTTCACTAAAAGTAGTAGGTTTTCTTACCTTTTGCTTGTCAAAAGTGCAATATTGTGTTTTGAGTGCATTGTAAATAGTACAGAGAAATGTGGTTTTAATACTGAAAATCTTTGTGATAGCCTTAAAATATAGTTTCATATTTATTTATAAAGTTGAAAGCTTTAAAAAGAGTGTAGATCGACAGATCTATGAATCCAAAAAAATCTTGAAAATTGACGGTCCAAAAAAGCGTTACAAAATATACTATTTTCCAAAGCTTGAAATCCATTTTTTTCTCATGTCCATGCATCTTGATGTCAAGATGACCAATTTGAAGATATGAGGTAGGCTCAAATTTGATTGTTTAGAGCCTCATATGTATATAAACTTTTTCCTTTTGTAAATTGTTTACAAAACAGTAACACCAATGCGAATTAAACTCTACAATTGTGAATTAAACTCTATACTTTTCGTTAGAAATTTCATTGAAAATTAGAGTACTCATTTAAAATATAGAAAGAAAAAAACGTTTATTAGAAATCTAATAATCATTCATAATTGAAATATAATTATGAGTTATAAAAGAAATGGTACCATATTAATAGAAATCTAGCTTCTGCCTACCAAACTTATACAAGTTCAAGGCCAGTATTAAGACGTTGCATATGCAATGAGTGGAGTGTAAGTTAATACAAATTATGTACAGGACGAAAGAAAATGTGTGGTAATCGATTGATTTATTGCTTTTATGGTGGAGAACTCTGATCAAGTGTTGATGACACTTTAACTTATATTGTTGGTGATGCATGTAGCTTTTTCAATGATAGTAGAACTAGGTTGGATGATATGAGAAAATAGAAACATTTCTCACTTGACAAGCATTCGATATCATTGAGGTTTGTCCTGGAAATAGAAGATTTGTTGTGAACATATTCATTGACGATGATATTAAGAAGAAGTTGAACACGCATGAAGGCAAGAATGATGTCATTGTCTACGTATGTGATACGAGTGAACATATGGGTAGAAGTACTTCACAAAATTGTAGCATGAGGTACACATATGTATTGATTTTATTCACTTTACTCATTACATGTTATAATTGCATTGAGCTTCTGATTTGGACATTTCAAATGTAGTAGGATAATCCAAGAGGGCAGACCCCCCAATCCTTTAATGTTTTCATCTCTGGTACCGAACAAAGCAATGTACCAAGGTTGTTTAGTTCATGGGAGGATACACTTACTAAGATAGGGCATGAGTTTTAATCACTAGATGACTTCCGAGAAGTCCTTTGCATGTTTGTTATAACATACCATTTTTACATACCATCTTGCTAAAAACTAGGGTTATCGCATAAGGGCGAAATTCAAGGGTGATGGATGCAAATGGTATATATATGCTTCGAAGTTTGACAATACAAGATTTTTAGAAACAAAACATAGAAAAGAGTGCACTCATGTAATATTGGGGCAAACAATGATGAACAGATAAAAGCGTTACATAAATTTGTTGCTTCTTTAATGAAGACTAAAGAAATCATGAATGATTTGTCTCGAGATTATAGGTTAGAACTACCCTATTACAACGCTTGGCAAGGGAAATAAACGGTCATCAAAGAAATATATGGTTCACAATAAAAGATATACAACCAATTACCTGTATATGTAAATTGTATTTGAGACTATTTTGAGAGTTATGCAACATAACAAGTATAGCCAGATGGTAAATTTTGTCACCTGTTCTTAAGCTTTTATTGCTTAATACATGGCATCCAAAGTGGATGTCGTCCACTTCTATTTCTCGATGAGACATCAGTTAAGACGCGATACCTTGGGACTCTACTTGCTGTCAACTCACTTGATAGGGAAAGACAAATATTTTTTATTACACTTGCTATTGTGGATGCCAAAAGCATCGATAATTGGTTATGATTTTTTGAATCTCTAAATATTGCTATTGCGACAGATCGTTCAATTACTTTGGGTCAAATAGACACCATGACTTGGTTGATACCATCTGTTAAGTTTTTTAGAATATCCATCATGTCTTTTGTGAGCGTCATTTGGATGTGAATTTCAAGAGGGATACAAAACATATACCTAATGATTTAAAGAAGGCAATTGTAAGTGCCTTTTTCAGAGCAAGTACAACATACAAGTCAAAAGAGTATTTTGACAAGATGAGTGAAATTAGACCACATTTGGAAGACGCATACACATGGTTCATGGAAACATCGCTAGACTATTGGGCTACATAATTGTTTAAGGGTAAGCAATATGGCCAAGTAACAACCAATATAGCAAAGTCATTTAACAACTGGATCCTAGAAGCTTGAAATATGCCAATTCTTCAGTATGTCAACTTGATTAAGCGGAAAA